ATATTTCTATATGAAATGCCCTGAGAAAATCTCTCAAAAAGAAGCTTGTGAGCAGGGCATGGTGGCCCAATCCTGTAATCTCAGCATTTAGGAGGCCGAGGCAGGAATATCATTGTGAGTTCAAGGCCAGCCTTAGCTAGAAAGTGAGTTCAAGGCCAGCCTGAACTGAGATCCTGTCTCAAAAAGATTTAAAAAAAAAAAAAAGGCCAGGGATATATCTCAGCAGGCATGAGCGCCTGCCTGGCAATCACAAGGTTCTGAGTTTGATCCTTGGTACAAAAAAAACACCCAAAACTTGTGTAGTTTTGTTTAACCTATCATGTCTCCTAAATATATTGTTTGCAGAATTTTGTTGGAAAGGAAAATCAATCTAGATAAATAGGACTGAAAAATATAACTGACCCCAGTTTATGCTAATTGCACATGTCCAAAAGATAATAAAAATTCCAGAGCAGCAGTGTCCAATACAAGCCACATACATCATTTCTAATTTTTTTAGTGTCACAAATATAAACTTATAGCTTTCTTATTTTGAAAAAATTAAACTCACAGAGAGTTGCAAAAGCATTACAGAGTCCCTTCCCCTGGCTTCTTCCTAATGATAACATGTTAAGTAAGTTAATCCTAGGTAGTATAATTCCAAAGCAAGGAAACTGACTTTGGTACAGTACTAGTCTACACTAGACTACAAATCTTACTGAGTTTTCACCAGTTTTTATATCCACTCTTTGTGTATGTGTACACATAGTTATATGTAATCTGATCCCATTTGCAGCTGCTGTCTTATTGTAGCTATTGTCTTAGTACTACAATCAAGATAAACATTTATTTTATCACTACCAAAAAAATTACTTGTGTAGCCCTGTAGTCATATCCACTCTCTTGCCTCTAGCAACCACCAGTCTGTTCCCTGTCTATGGTTTTGCTGTTTGTCAATGTTATATAATTGGAGTGTTACATATAGTATGTAACCTTTTGCATGTGGCTTTGGCATTTTTCACATTATATATGCCCATTTTGAGATTCATTGATGTTATTATGTTTATCAGTAGTTCATTTTGTTGTTGTTGTTGTTGTTTTTGTTTTCAGGGTTTCACTATGTATTGCAGAGTGGCCTTGAATTCTGCTTATGTAGTCCAGGTTAGCTTCAAAGTCACAGGAATCCTGCCTCAGCCTCTCGAGTCCTAATAGTTCACTTTAAATTGATGAATAAATAATACCCTATTACCGAAGTATAACTATTCACACAATAAAGGACATTCAAGTTTTTGCTAGTTCTTTTTCAACTATAAGTAAAACTGCTGTGGAACTGTGTGTACAGTTTTTGTGTGAATAAATTTTCATTTTTCCCAATTTACATATGTAAGAGTGCAACTGCCAAGTTGTTTGATAAATGCATGCTTTGTTTTATAAGAAATTGTCGGGCTGGAGAGATGGCTCAGTGGTCTAAAGCACCTACTTGGAACAAGCTTGGCAAAACATCAGGGACCACGGTTCAATCCCCCAGCACCACATGCTGGCCAGCCGCGCCCCCTGGTGGGTTGAGCCGGCCACACACACACACACACACACACACACTAAATAAATGTTAAAAAAAAAAAAAAGAAATTGTCAAACTATTTCAGAGTTAGCTATATTATTTGGCATTCTCACCAACAGTTCAGGAGACATCCA